CGAAACCAATCTAAAGAAGAGCAGACCAATCTTGGTCGGACACAACCTATTCCAGGACCTAGCCTTCATATACCGAACCTTTTTCGAACCTCTGCCGCCCCAGGTCGATGACTTCCTAATCGGGATCCACGCCCTGTTCCCGCGTATCGTGGACACCAAGTTCATGTACTCGCGAGGCAGACACATGATGGAGCCAGACCGAACGCTACAGGAACTCTGCGCTTCGTACGCCGGAATGCAAGATCCCGGCCCTAAGCTGCGCAACATGTCATACCGTGGTCTAAGCCAGAGCAGACCTCATAGCGGCGGATACGACAGTCAGTCACCGGGAAACCCCCTCCTTATTCTCGGATCTGTCCCTAACCCTGCCAGGCGCCATGACGGCGAGGCTGTTCCTAATGCAGACCAATGCCATGTTCACGGCGAAGAAGCACCAGGAGAAGATCAAGGTGGCCTACTACGCGCCAGAGAAGCCAGGCATCATCATAGACGGCACAACGGGAAAGGCTTTCCAAACCATATCCCGGTTCGTCTTACCTCAACCCACACCTAACGCCTAACACCTAACAACTACACATACCATCCGTCGCTAACCACAGCATCTAGTGCGGCCCGATCGCAAGAGGCCAGCAAGCCCAGCCTCCTCGACGAAGAGGAGAGCGAGACGGTGGACGCGCTGCAGAAGTGGGACGTGCTGGGCGCCGACCTGCCGGTCTCCGGTTGCGCTACCCCAACCCCAGACGCTGGTTCGGGCTCGCCGCCGCCGTCGCCGGTACAGGTGTCGCCAACTGTGCTGGAACTTCAGGACGAGCCGTCGGTGCCGCCGGTGGTGATGGTGCGGATGCCCGCCGAAACGTGCCAGGCGAGGGAGCTCCACATCATACCCTCGTGGACGGACGACTTCTGGAGGGTGTACGGCGACAAGTCGTCCATGCAGGGTGCTGGGTACGTGTCCTTTATCTAGGTCCTGGGTAGTTCAATGTTTAGCCTGGTAAGCCTGTATATGAGGGACGGTGAGCACTTTAGGGAGGCGTTGTGCACGGTGTCCCGTTGATTTGATCCGGCCCGGTGCATTGAGTGTCATCCATATCAAAGGGTGAGTGAATCAGGGCAGGGGTGGTTGAAGGGTTGGATGATATATCCGTCTACGCGAATCAAGGGCCATGTTAATAAATCAAGAGTTGACGCCCAATGAGTACGAAAAAAGCCGCTCATCTGCACGCAGAGTAGTACAGTATAGTACAGTCTCTTTACAATAGGTGGTGGTGTCTGTAAATTTACAGGAGGCTTTTCTGCCGCGAGATTCCCACCCATTCTATCGATCCGCCATCATGTTCCTGACCGAGCGGAAGTACTCGTATGGTAATTTGGCCCTCAACTCATCCTTCGTGAGCCAATTGAAGTCTTGGAGGCCTAGCCTGTTGTTCTTCAAATTTGCCTGGCCCGCCATGATCCTCCCCTTTATGAAGAACACCTTCTCGCCCTTCTGCTTGAGAGACGTGTCTTCGTTGAACTGGGGCTGCGTTACGAAATGCGCAACCGGCACGCGACCTACTAACCAGGTGTTCATGTTTACGCCCGCGGCAAATTCCAAAGCTCTCGCAGCAGTCTGCGAATACGGTTAGTGTTTCAGCTCACAAATATATAACGCAGCTGAGCCTGACGAACCTGGTGTAAGTGCTCATCCGTTGGCACGTCTTCGGCAGGGAACTGCCATTTCCCATCGCCGCCCTGGACAACCAAGTAGAGGGTGCTATCGAGCTTACGATCCAACCGCCTCACATCGTTCGTCTTGTCCGCCTCGGTAATCCTATCCATTGGCCGCTCGACGGGCACGATCTCGTCGGGCTTAGCCTCCTCGCCGTCTTCGGTCACGCGGAACTCGGCATCCTTGATCAGGATCTCCCGTAGCCTCTCTTCGCTGCTCAGCGTGCTCCCCACCAGCAGCTCATCGTTCCACGCATTGCGCCCCTTGGCGTAGTACCGGCCCAGCTCCTTGGCAGCTATCCGGCCTCGCTCCTCGAACTTGATCCGCCAGTCCAGATCAGTCGCCGTGTCCTTCTTGAAGAAGAGCGTATGTCGAAAAGGAAGCACCAATCGCTCGTTCAGGCGTTTCTGGTAGAAGTAGAAGGCGTTCTCGAAAGGGGTGAGAGGGCGGGTGAGCAGAGGCGCTCGGGTCAGGATGATGCCGCCCTTAATGCGGTACTCAGCCCTTTGGACCTCTTTGGTCGGTTTGAGGTGGTGAGCCTCAGCCGTCGCGGCGGCTTCGGCACCGGCAGAGTAGGGTCGGAATTGAGAATTTCTGCAGCTGGCGCATATACTGGATTGTCCTTCGGAGAAATTGTTAGTTCGAAGTGGCACGCACGTGTGATATCCAGAGTGTAAAGAGGCGACGGGACGAGCTTACTTCGTAATAAAGCAGCTGCGGCGCTGCTACCTCTACTTGACGCAGCCATGATCCGGAATTGGCTGTCGCAATAGCTCTCCTAATGTCAATGGCGGAGGCTCTGCAATCATTTAGAGGTCAGTGAAAGCCACTGAATTTTTTTTGGGGCACGCGAGAGATGGGTTTTAGTACACTTTCTGTTTAGATGAATATCATTTATATATGAGGTATAGTATTAGTACGGCTTACGAACATGCAAGTAGTCCTTCGCCTTGTCTTGTCTCTTGTCGACAGGGCCTCTTCAAGTCATTTCGAATACATTGATCTTGCATCACATGAATGTAGCTATCAAGCAAACTACATGCCTTGGATGCTATCTGCATAATGGTCTGTTATCTGAATATCATCTATTCGAGATGTATCAAGAACACTGGCTGCCATAGACGATACAAGTACATTGTGTTGAGATGATGGGAATAACCATGTTTTTGCCATGACCATGAGTCAACGTCAACTTTCCGCCAACTTCGACCAAGTGCCGATAATCAATATAAGGGACTTGTAGTCTTCCTCTGTTATATCACCATTTGACGGCTCCTAATCAACTCTGGCCTTTTTCTCATCGCAGCGGAGCCCAGCTTGTCTATTTGGAGATGAGTTGCTCTGCAAAGAATGCCGGCCATCCTCGGTATAAATTTCACTGAGAAAACGATGGGTGATATTGCGGAACGGCATCAAAATGCTCCACAGTCCATCCTTGGAAGTCATTGCGGAAGAAGTCCCAAAGGGCTTCATCACAATCACGGTCTTCGTACAACTGGAAACTCTCGGCGAGGTACGTGGAAAGTTTGTTACCGTCTAACGGTCGGGTTTCATCAGTCGGATCAATCTCGACACCAGCCTCGTCGTGGTCGACGTAGTCCGACCATTGTTTTGTCATGATGAATGGTTAGGTTGGGACTAGTCTGGGAGAGGAAAGAAAGGTGAGTAGAGAAGAGTGAAGAAATTGGTGGTGTTGATTTCCATCAAGAGGCGCACCATTGTAGTTAGATATATCCTAGAACACGTCAACTTAACCTTTATAACGGTGATGATAGTACGTCTCCTCAGGCTTGGGGTTGAGAGCGTTTATATGATAACCCCAAATCCTGGCGAAACGAGCTCGGCCCTCTGGTGTTGCAATGTCCAACCCTGGAGAGTGTAGAACAGCTCTATGGCGATAGGAGTTGAGATTGCCTCCGTATTTCGTCTCATAATTTAGCCACAGACGTAAGGACAGATTGGAATTCCTCGGTGATATTTAACACCACCTTCTCCAGCGTGGAACCATGCGCCTTGTGCACTGTTATGGCATTGGGTCGACGGCGGGACTCATATCTACTGTCCCGATGGATTAGCCAAGCATTTTAGATGGCTGCCACGATATCAACTCACGCAGTCGCTTTTTTACATTTGTCGTCCTCAAGGTAGCTTTCGTGACCAAATATGTGTCATCAACATATAATTTCGTGGTGTGAATCTTGCAATGTCTGGTGTTTATGCTGTTGTCTCAACATGCCAGTAGTGTCGTTCTGCTCTGGGTCCTCGACGTAGCCCTACCTAACAGTACTCCGATTAGGCGTCGAAGCTTTGGATCTCAGGAAGCGATACTTCCAGGAATTGCTGTTGGTCCTCCAGCGTTCAAAGGCCAAGGTTATTATCCAGCGCGATTCAACATCCATGAACTCTTTGAAGACATATCTCAATGACTTCGACGCACGTGCTTTTATCGCACGTTGCGAGGAATCCCTTATGACCACTGCTGGAATGGTATATCCTTTATGCAGTCGTTAATATACGCGGTCGCCGACGCGGGAATATTTTGGCTGGCATATTGATCACTGAACGCCTTCATGGTCATGTTGGCCAGCGCTATACTGTCCGCCGCTTCGATGTAAGGATCTCGAGCTCTATAAAGTATGAATCCATGAGCAGCGTCACCAAACTTCCAAGTGCCGCGAATGCCACCATGGATGGTGCCGGGACCCAACGACTCGATGATCTTCGTCGACCACGACGTGTGGGTTATGTTATGCTAGGAATCTGTGCGAGTTTATCAGAGACGAGGATTCGCTATCCAGGTATGTTGAGATGGCGTGTTTGTATGCAGCAGTGTTAGTGTTAACACAAGAGAAGAAAAGGTTCTGGATTAATTGAGAACATGAAACGAGGGAATGATACATAGAACGAGGCTTCTCCTGATTACGCCACTTTAGGGTTCCCATGACAGAGAAGGTAGGGCTTTCCACCTGCTCACATATTTGGTGTGCTGACATCGTCACCACCAAATAGCAAGAACCTATTACTATGTAACCACATGCATCTTGCACCTGTCTGCGGGTGGGGATTGTGTAATAGTAATAAAGCTTGATAATTACGATGTTATGCAACTCCAGGAGATTATACCACTCATACAAGGGAGCAAAAATTGAAATGTTGACACTTAAGCGTTCATGTTGTCGTGGCAAAGCAAGCACATAGTGAGTTGAAGTTTACCATTTGGGTTGCACTTCTATTGTCAAAAAGGAAAACGCAACGAAGAAAAAGAAAATTACATGGTAACCCATCTTCTAGATGATTCCGCCCGGGCTCGAACCGGGGACCTTCAGTGCACCCGAATGCGTTGGGTAAACCCACCGCAAATGTTAGACTGACGTGATAACCAACTACACCACAGAACCCCACTTCGCATAGTTGTATGCGATGTTGCTTGATCTCAGGGAGCCCAAATGGGGTCTATATACTATAAATTACGAACCAGAGCTAAGGGTTGGGAAGATCAGTTTTGTGGAGAGCTTTGGTACTCCCAATTGGTGCCATCCCGGAGTCTGCAGGTTCCACTTAACTGTAAGCCCACGGTAAATTTAGAGTTGTGTTTTTAGTAAACGTTTGAAATTCATGGGTACCCGAACGAGATATAGGAAATCTGTAATGTATGTGCTTGAATAAGGTATTAGAGAAGTACCTAAACGTTTATAGATTCTAAGAGTTTATGTATGTAAACGTTAATCGGTAAACAGGAAGCTGTAGGAAGCTACGGGAGCAGGAAATTAGGTATTTTGGTACCTAGGTACGCCAGACGTGTAGCCAGATGGGTAGGTAAATAATCAGGTAAACATTTAGGTTCAGGATTTATTACTGATCAGGATCACTGATTAGACTACAGGTCTACAGGTCTACAAGCTACAGGCTATAGATCTATAGATTACAAGTTACAGGTCTACAAGGATGGTCAGGTCAGTCAGGTCAGTCAGGTCAGTCAGGTCAGTCAGGTCAGTCAGGTCAGTCAGGTCAGTCAGGTCAGTCAGGTCAGTCAGGTCAGTCAGGTCAGTCAGGTCAGTCAGGTCAGTCAGGTCAGTCAGGTCAGTCAGGTCAGCTAAGGCAAATCAGCCAAGTCATCCAAGTATAGCTGGAGGTCAGAATGAATCTTAGAGATAAGGAATATAAATCTGGAAGGAGGGAAGGGAGCCTTCTTTATATAAACAAGACTAGCTGGCAATACCTAGGTACACTGGCCATACTAGTAATATTAGCAAAGATACCTAGGTACTATAGCAAAAGCTCTATACAGGCTCTCATTAGCTCCTTGTATAAGTTCCAGGAAATAATCGTTACACAGGCATGAATTTACTCTTTATAATATATAAACGTTTGAAGAGAATTTAAACGTTTAGAAGGCTTTTAATATTGAAACAGTAGTAAACGCTTAAAAAGTTTAACATTCTGATACTTTCATGTTAAAATGTAACAAAACGGTTTAAAACACTTAAACTGTATCTACACGGTAAACTGGAATCTGCGGAATCTGGTATGGTGGTTGGGTGGTTGGTGGGGCCTTGGTTACTTTTGGCGGCAAGTCGTCATCTGTCTGGGGAAGGAACACCAAGTCCCAACTTCTAAGACAACCCGTTTCAACTTTCATTCGCGGAATTCAACATGTCATCATATCCCGAATCTGTAACGACACTCTCCCCGAATGCATTCTTTACCTACCTACTGTTAGGTACTCGCCAATGAACCACCATACTATACCCTAGGTATCCTACGAGCTAGAATGTCATCGCAGTCATTTTGCTACGCCTCAGGCACATATTCGTAGATCAGTCCCTCCTCTCCTCAGCTCGTTCCGATGGGAGCCTCCGACTGCTTAGATGACCTGTGTATAGCGCCAGGTCTAGCTGCGCCCTCAACCCTTTCGACCACCTTATCCCTAGCTCCATTCATCATTACCTTTTTGGCCGTTTCTTTCCTGGTCTCCCAAAAGATCTTCCCTCACCTATCTCGTGTGCAGAATTCCCGCGATGGCGAAGACCATTTCCTACCCTCCGATGCGCCTCCGTCGCTTCAGCAAGTCCACGCCGAGCATGGCGCCAAATCCCTGAGAAGACAGCTAGCTGCCAGTGCTTTCTCTACCACGGTTGGCCTAGCTGCCGTCTTGGCCGAGTTGATATTGTGCGAGATATCTGAATTGGTCAGCCCTTACGCCCGAGCGCTGGCCCTGCGAGTCACCGTTCCTACGCTCTTGTTCCTCCTCATCGTACTCATCCCCTTCCTCGAACTCCAATCCCTAGTCGCTGGTTCCGGATGGTCGTTTCAGCGGACTTCGAAAGGGCGCGTACCCAGGGCCGCTTGGATACTTCAGTTTATGATGTTTGGTGTTTGGCTATTTGCTTTCTGGTCGCTTGGAAATCTTGTGCCGGTAGGAAGCGAAGCGGTACGGCCCAGCGCTGCGATGGAAACAGTCCGAGTCGAGTCCGCGCTCTCCGCCAGCCTGGCGCGTGCCTGTCTCGAGCGCATCGGCGTTATCGGCATCTCGCTCATGGCCTTGCTATCCGGCTTTGCTTCTGTCTCTTCCCCGTGGCATACATTCGGCAGCCGGGCATCGCGACGTCCTGTGACGGATGCGGACATTGGCCGCAAGCAAGCGGGTCTCGATGCTACCAACGAGATGCTGATAACCAAACGACACCGACTGCAAACTCTGCAGCGTAAGGTAGCCGATGGCGCTCTAGCCGAAAAGCGTGGGTTTGTGACCAAGGTCATCGGTTCCATCCGCGGCGGGGGTGATGCGGCGGAGATTCGCACGTTGCGCCTCGAAATTGCTGGTCTGGAAGCCATGGAAGCAAATCTCTCTGCGTCTCTGTCTATGCTCCGCTCAAGACAAGCAAACTCGGCCCGCGCTGCGACATTTTCCGGAAGACTCCTCCTCATACCCACCTACGTGTTTAGCGTGTACTGCGTTTATCGTATAATAGCCACTACCTTGACCACTCTACGGCGGCTGTACTCTCCAGCTGCCTCATTCTCCTCTTCAGATCCCATCAACCGTTTTCTTGGCCTCCTGGCTAGGCATTGGGACCCGAAGCTCGACCAGATCGCCTGGGCTAGGCAAATTTCTTTTTTGCTATCCGGCGTCATCCTTGCTGCGAGCGCCAATAGTGCGCTCCAGACATTCCATTTGTTCGCCAAGTGGACGCCAGGGCTTTTATACCAGGCGCAGGCAAATTTGGCCCTCTTGATTGGGCAGATCAGTGCTATCTACGTGATCTCCGCCGCACTGCTCCTACGAAGCAACCTCCCCAAGGAGATGGGCAGCGCTGTCGGCGACGCCCTCGAGAGCGCTCTAGAACCGGGTTTCGTAGACAGGTGGTTCGAAGGCTGGTTCCTGCTAGCAAGCGTAGTGACAGCAGGAGGGATCTGGCTGGGCGGAAAGATTGGCGAGTGGAGCGAGGAGTGGGACGACATCGGTATGGAAGAGATGGGTCAGAAACGATCGTAAGGATACTTCAAGCCTTCGTCACATTATATAAAAAAACAGTTGCCAAGCACCTTTGCAAGCGAAATGAGTTTTTCAGGCACATGATAATCGCGATGGGTCTCACATTCCTGAACCAGCTTCTTATTCGCATTGGATTAAAGCGGCGGCACTGTCGGAGAAGGCTGGTAAAATCTACCATCGGACCATCGGCTCTACCTACAAACTATTTACACGACCTAGATGTTCACTGACCTCGCAATACAGCGTCCCCTGGGCTTGTAAAAACTGCTGTCTAACTTGGCTTAGTATGGTCCTGTCAGGCGCACGGGAATATCCAAGCTCTTGATGTACCGCCGCCCTGTCGACTTAGGAATCAAGATTGATGACCACGGGTCCAGATGTCGACGGCCTCTCCGCTCCGTACTAAATGAGCAATTTCTCTACTTGTTTCTGGGATTTGCGGAGCAGGTCCTCCAAGTTGGTCGCCCAATCCGGTTTCGCCTCACTACAAATATCCAGCGGGTGCTTTTGGTACCAATTTTCAACCTTGTCGCTTTCGTACGGATGTTCTCCATCAGGATCCCCAATCGAATTGGCATCGCGAACCTCCATGAGCAGGCTTTGTACCCACCCTTCTTCAAGGAGGTTTACCGCCATCTGAAGCGGAGTAAACTTATAGCCGAGCGGGTTCGGATTCGCACCTCTCTCAAGGAGCATCTTCAAGAGCTCGCCCGTGGTCGATCCGTCATCGCCAGTAGACGTACCATAGGGGTTCCGAAGAGCTACGAATATGATGTCGGGCTCATAGTCAAACTTGGCTCCAGCGTCTATGAAATGACCCAAAAAATCCAACTGTTTCCACAACACGCAGAGTCTGAGGACCGTCATCAGCTCTCCCTTATGACAAGTCTTCGGGATGGTTTCGTCAATGGAAGGATCGATCGTGAATTCGTCCGTCCATATGGCGCGCCTTGCTTGCGGGGAGAGATTCTTGAAAGCCGGATCTTGCAAGAACTTCTGTGCGAATTCGGGCCATCTGAGCAACATGAGGCTAGCTAGAATACCGGTTTCCACTGAGGATCCCCGATGGGCACTGCCGTTCTGTGGCGGCAACTCATCAAACGCAAATAGCTTCCTCCATCTTTGAAAGTACTTGCGTAGAGCCACGTTTCTAAGGGCCTTCAAGTGCGCCCCGCCGGGTACGAGACAGGGCAATACAGATTGCCACAAACTGTGATCTTTGACGATCAAGTCACGCCGGCCTGCCCTCAGAGCCAAGTCACCCGCTTCCAGACAATGTTCTTGGTACCGGGTGGGGGGTAGTCTCGGATTCTGGACACGAGCCGTCTCCCACTGCTGCAGGCCGTTGAACACAACCTGCATCTCCAGTTTACGGATTTCGGCACTGGAAAGGGCAAAGTTTCCCGCCGGCCTTGGCTCGCCCTCTCTCTTGGGTTTCGCGAAGAGGAACTCCCTCACCGTATAGTGAGCGAGGCTGACTCGTTGAGGCGTAGCAGTTTCGTCTTCGCGCTTGAAGATGGAATGGGGCTTTCTCTTCAAGTCGGTTATCTTGATCAGGCAGCCGAGACTATCCTTCAACACTCTGACGTTATATGTGTGTATGGCACCGTGCTGAACGCTGTGCAGGCTTGCCTGTACCAGCACGTCGGCACTCTTGATGTTTACGGTGTTGCTGCATATCAGCGCAAGAGCTGTGCGAGCGAAGGCTTGCTCTCCAGGCTTTATGCTCTGGAGAATCCTCGCGTATGTGTCAAACAGCGTTTCCGGCAGGTCCTCGAGGGTCTTTAGCACTTCGTCCCGGTCCATATACTTGCGCTCGATTATATCGATCTGGCACGCGACCCATCGGAACCTGGCAAAAGTCTCAGCGAATACTCGATAAGGCCACGGCAATTGAGCACT